CTCTCTCTCTGTCTCCTGCTTGCTCCCTCCAGACCTTTAAGATGGAGAAAGATTGTCACAGTGAGAAACAGACATAGAGGCAGGCAGACCAAGGAGGAAACCAAAGACAGAGCCAGCGACAGAAAGAGAGCAGACACTGAGAAACATAAGAGACAACCAAGAAGCACAAGAGAGAAGGAGAGAGGAAAAAAGAAAGAGGTGGGGACGTGGGTGAGGAGAGTAGCTAGTCCGATTAGCTACCTGGTGAAGAAAATTCTAGGAGAAGCTTTAGGCATGTGGCAGTGGTGTCGCTTTTTGCTGGAGCTGCAGGGAGGAAGGGTGAGTGGAAACCTCAGACAGTGTGTGTGCCAGGCCAGCATGACACCAGACCAAGGCAAATTTGGGAAGGTTATTCCAGAGTTAGGGCTGCATATACATGGGCTTTGCAAAGTCTTGTCACATGGGAGCTGGAATCAGACTTCCTTTAGGGAGCCTAGGACAAGTCAGTCATCTTGTGTCCCTAAACCTCGGTGCCTTCATTTGTCAACTGGAAGAAATAACACATCACAGAGTTGTGAGGATTTCATTTTAGGATATGTCCAACATGTGAGGAGAGTGCCTGGAATATATTAATAATAAATGCCCCATGCTAACAAGCTAGCATTGCTGCGGGGTGAAGGATAGCATACCCTAGAAATGCAAGGTCTGAGAATTTCTGTTTGTCCCTTCCTGAGCTCCTTCTTCTTTGTTTTAAAATGGAGATGGTCCTCCCTCAGTAAAAGGAAGCCATTCCTTTCTCGCAAATTCTCTGAAAGACAGGAATGCACACCCCTTGGGCATGTCTGGGAGGCGACCTTGGAAATCAGACATTGATTGCATTCTGACAGAAGTACACACAGGCCAGTTCTCCAGAAGGGTCTCCCAGTATTCAGAGAGCCATTGGTTGTGTCCCAGCGAGATGGCATCCTTCATGACAGTCCACAGACACGTGTTTGGTCCAGTGCATTTGTGCCCAGCACAGAGAACCTCAGCAAGGCCGCATTCTGCATTGTGACTCTTTGTCAAGCCGGGTGTGAACATAAAAAGCAGAAAGCTCACTAAACACAGCCGGCATTCTCAGCTGCTGCCGGTGAGCCAGCCACCATTTACACAACTCTGACCTTTCAATTTAGACATTTATTTTCCACTGACAGCCCTGTGAGGCACACATGGTCAATTCTCCTGTCATTTCTCTTCGCTTTGGGGAGATTGATAGCTTGACCAGCCTCACCTTGGGAAAAGGGAGAAACAGAAAGCCTCTAGGACCTGGGAAGTCAAAGCAGCACGGGGCAGATGTGTCCTCAGGCTCTCGTAAACATGTCAACAAGGTCTTATGCCTTATCTATTTATCTTGTTGGTTCCGAATTTCTCAGAGATTTAATGCTTTCTTATTACCTGTGCATAGCAATGCAAGCCACCAAAGCTCCAAGCCAACCAAAATTCCCACCGAGGGAGGGAGAGAATATTAAAGGAAGTGTGAGCAATTGATGGGATGTACTACTCTGCGCTCTGAAGGGGTCTACACTGAGTGTGAGTGGTCTAGACTGAGTGTGAACATTCCAGCCCCAAGTAAGTTCACACTCCAGATAGAGCAAAGATGACCTGCTTAGTTGTAATAGTGATAGAAATACCAATGAAATAATACTCTAAAATAGCTAGTGCTTCTTTTAAAAAAATGATTATTTAATTTATTATTATTATTGTTATTATTATTATTTTGTTTGCTGTGGTACACATGCATTTACCAGAGAGGCAGACAGAGAGAGAAAGAGCACGAGAAGAAAAGTGGGAAAGTAAGCCACCAGGTCTGGGACTCAAACCATGGTTGTCCGTGTGGGAGTCCAGCGCCTTAACCACCACGTCACCTGCTAGCCCAAAATAGCTAGTGCTTCGTAAGAGTTTGTTGTGTGCCAGGTACTGCATTACGTGCTTTAAATGGATCATTTTATTAAATCCGTACAGTCATGCTGATGAGGTGGGTATTGTTTTTATTTCCATTTTACAAGTGAGAAAACAAAAGGCTGAGGAGGTGAATAACTTGCCCAGGGCTGTTGGGCATAGAATTACTTGTGTGTGTGTTGAAGGGGAGGTAAGGGCTGGTGAGGGCAGGAGGCGGTGAGATGCAGTGGCCTGAATAGTGGGGTTGGTGGTCAAGAAGGTTGTTAGATGAGAACACTAGAATAGGTGAAGCTAAGATGTTTGCTTTCTTTTTCTTGGAGGACATTCTAGTGTGGCATATTTTCCACAGGCTATTCTTCTGTCTCAACTAGTCACATTGCATTTTCACATTTAATCATTTGTTAACATTGCAAGAGGAGTTGCAGAGCCCAATTTAAATCAGGAGCTGTAGAATAAATCATCTTTACTGCGCTTGGCTTGTTGTCTTCTTCTCCTGAGGTGTGAGAATATAAACTTTGATGTTTTATAGAACAATGGATTTCAAACACTTTTTAGAAGCCCCGAAAATGAAATCCTATGTAAGACTTCAATATGTTATGAGACAAGAGCATGATTCTGAAGATGAAGGATCTGCATGTGTTGCCATGGGGGCAACGTGGATATCGTGTAGGTAAAAATAAAAGCAAATTGCAGAACAGTGCAGTGAGGATGATAGACAGGTGTACATCTAGGTCTCATCTATTGAAGAAAACTTGGGATTTGAGGTTAAGGAGATGTGGGAGACCTGCTTATGTGCACTTCGTAGGCTCTACCCTTCCCCCTGCTCCCATATACATATAAATAACATCGTGGGAATCAGGCTCTGAGCACTGCCTCCTTAGTCCTCATTTCCTGCCACTGGCCCCTACTCACCCATGCCACACTTTGTTTCTCTTGTGGAACCCCCTGAAGTGTTCGCTGGAGCATAGCTTGGGAAGCACTGACCCAGCAAGTGCTTTGGGCATTCTGTCTCAGTGAGAACCAGCATCACCTGACTGCGCTCTGTCCACATATTGGCACTCAGGGCTGCTATCACCCCAGTGTTTTTTTTTTTTTTTTTTTTTTTATTTTTAAGATTTTTTTTTGCCATAGGGCACATATGCTTCTCAGAGAGAGATAGAGATAGACAGATAAGAGATAGAGAGAAGGAAAATGAGAAGTCACTCCCTAGAGGTCATGGCCACACCATAACCCTTTCTCTTCCATCCTCCTCTTGTATTTTGGTCATAAACACACACACACACACACACACACACACACACACACACACCTGGTGTGATTTTCAAGCTTCCAGGTCTGGGACTAGAACCCTGGTCAGCTGTGTGTGGGAGTCCAGAGACCCAACCACCATACTACCTGTTGGTTCCTCACCCCAGTCATTTAATGTGCAAGTGTGAGGTGAGCCAGCACAATGACCTTGAATACATATGGCTTCACTCAATAAAACAATCCATCATTTGGCAATTGTATAGCATCTCTTGTAGAGGTTCGTTTTGTGAGAAGTGTCCTGTGTCACCCGGGTTGGGGCCCTCCAACACTTAGCTCTAGGCACATACCTCTCTGCCACCACTTACTCTTTCTCATGCTGCTCCGCCCTTTCCGAAGAGACCCTTGTCCTAAAGTCGCTGGGCTGGGTGTGCTCCTCACGGGGTTGACAATAGCGGTGGGCACAAAGACGGATTTGAAGGGACGGCTTTGTCGGGGATCACCTTCTGAAACACTGCCTTGGGAGGACACAGAGGAGGTGGATAACGTCCATGTGGTGTAGAGACCAGGGTTCCGGGAATCTGGAAAACTAGAGGCCTTTCTATTTGTTGGACATTTTTTTTTTTTTTTTAAAGAGAAGAAACAGAGAAAGAAAATATTTAGTCAAAACTCTTAGTTTAAAAAAACACTATTAGTTTCCAACCATATAACAAATGTGGCTGTTTCTCACCCTTTTCTACCCATGTACATTCCTTGTTATTCTTTTTAAAGTTTTTTTAAAAGAGAATGATTTTACTTAACTTTACTTATTCCTTAAGTTGATTAGAGAGAAAGAGAAAGAGAGAGAGAGAGAGAGAGAGAGATAAATAAGCCGCCAAGTCTGGGACTCGAACCACGGTTAGCTATATGGAAGTCCAGTGCCCTTAACCACCATGCCACCTGCTGGCCTCCATTCTTTGTTATTTTTAGGCTTAACTATTCAGTTGTTGGAGAAGTGATGAAGCATTTTTACATAGAAAAACAGTACAGCATGACTTTTCCGACAACCCAATAAGTAGGTTCCACTTTCCTTCACCTTGATAATCGTGTGTGCTCTGCTGAGGGCAGGGAGATGGATTCATATCGGGATCCAGGTGGAACTAGAAGACTTGAATTTCACCATCTTTCATTGTAGTTCTGATCACTCCTCAGCCAACTCTCTTCAGCCTTTGGGTTCAGGCACAGGATCTTACATGGTTTCCTTTTGCTTTGCATTAGCAATTTCTTATTCATTCAATGACTCTTCTGCTAGATTCTAAACTCTCTGAAGGCAGAGATTTAACAGGACTTATATCCTGTGTTCCACATAGATTGTCAGTGAATAAATGTTGAATGGTTGCCATGATACTTGCAGAACTGACGTTGGTCATTTTGGCCTAGATGGGCTGAGTGTCTACTCTCTACCTCAGGCATTGGCTAAGTGCTTTGCCGACATGATCTCACAGGTTCTTATAGCCTTCAGAGGTAGTTACTGTTACTGTCAATATTTTATAGATAAAAACAAAAATATAGACTAACAGTTATTTGCCTAAGCAACTAATAGACCTGGATTGTGATCCCAGGTGTAAGCTGATCCTCTGCTCTTTCCAGTGAGCTACTCTGTCTCCTGGCTATCCTTTGGTAGCAGGTGAGACACTATTCTGCCTACAGTAAAGAACAAAGGCAGCTGGTAGGTTCTATACATTCCTCCCAATCCTTCAACCTTGTTCTGCAATTTTCAAGAGTAGTATTGAAGTTTTATGAAACGACAATCTCTTGTCCACTGTTTGTAGGCTGCAACTCCCTCAACTCCTCAGAGACTGGCTGTCATTTTAGAAGACTTTCTTGTCCTTTTACCAATCCACTCCCAATATCACATCTTCTACTGAGAAGGCCATCAATCACCTTGCCCTCTGTTGATTAAGTAGCTTCTGCTAATCCCCTGGGTATAACAAACTCACACCAAGGTCCTGGCACACAGAAACACTCATGGTTTCCTCCCCAACAATGTTGCCAGCTTTTCCTTTAAGCTTTTCCTTTTGCTCTATTTCCCATTTTCTCTCTTACTTTTGACTTAAAGAGAAGTGATATGTAGTGTAATAACAAGCCTGTGTTGTGCAAAGACTGGCAAGGCATCATTTAATTGTGGCCCACACTGCCCAAGAAGTAGATGTGGCCAAATGCTCTAAGAAATAATGCTTGAAGCAAGGGGACTTCTCTTCATTGCTGCCCACCTGCCTCTGGTCCCCTCTAGTGAGAGGTCAGACTATATTCTGAAGATGAAGCCCAGGCGATGGAGGAGAAATCCCTAACCCAGGCTTCCATGGCAGAGAGCAGCAGAGCTGCCTGTCATTTGAACAGAGACCTCAAGGTGTTGGATGCTGCAAAATGGGTTAGCATCAGGGAAGACAGGTTCCAAAATTATTTTCAGCAATGGCAGCAGCAGCAGAAGCTGCTACAGTAAGGACAGAATACAGCTAATTAGGCCTAAGTTAGCCCTCATTTGCCAATCCCTTCTTTACAGATTGAGGTAGGACTTCATTTTCCTGAGCCCAGCACTGGGCCAGATTCTAGGAACTCTGAAATCCCAAGTTCCTCTAGGTCTTTTGGCAAAGAGCTCACCATTTACCTAGCGCTTTCTTCCAATGTCAAAGCACTTTGCTAACATATATTAATAAATCCCATGACGCTGAAGATCTGCAGACATTATGATCCTTGTTTTCCAGATGGAGATATTGAAAGATATCCTGAGCTGAAATGGGAGGAGTGGATATTGGCTCTAATCTGCTCCATTGAGCAGGCTCTGTGTCCTTTTCTCTATCAGGGACATTAGCTCTTAAGAGCTTACTCAATATTCAAAGGAGACAGATCTACTGTGTTCACTACTGGCAGCAGTCTCCTAGTAAGGAGAAAGGTTGGATCTTGACAATATTTATGATTTATTAAAAAAAATTGCCAGAAAGCATATGTGCTTGACAGAAAGAGAGACAGAGTGAGAGGGTGAGGTAGAGGAAGACAGCACCCTTCAGTGGAACATGGTCACATTGCAATCCTTTCTCCTCCATTTTTCCTTCCTGTTGGGATTTTGGGCACACATGCACACACACACACACACACACACACACACACACACACACCTAGTGTGTTTTTCAAGTCACTGGGGTCAGGATTCAAACTACAATCAGCCATGTGGGAGCTGACTCCCTTAACCACTGAACTACGGGGCTGACCCAACAATCTTTATATTGTTCCACATAGAGAATTAAAAGCAAATGGGTAGTGGCCCATTCATCACTTTTCTCCTCCCACATGGCCCAAGGTAGCATATGAGTCTGTGAAAGTTGCAAAAAGGCTAACTGAGGCAGAATAGCATTTATTGGGAAGATATTATTGAAAGACTTAGAATCCAAGGAGGCTGCAGAGAACTCAACACAGGAGTCTGTAGTAGAAGAGTCATGCCAGATGCTGCTGTTGGTGCTCTCACCATGAATGGTCTTCAACTTTGCCCACATCCTTTCCTCCCTTGTTCAAGTTTCAAAGTCCCAAGAGGCAGTGTCAGATTGGCTGAGCCTGCCCTTTATCTGTGGTGATGGGCTGAGGGGGATTTGATTTCTTCAGTCTCCGAAAAGGAGGAAAAAAATCTGCCTCCATCCGGGACTACACGTGAAGGAGGAGACCAGAATGTTGATGCTATTAAGGATTGGGGTGGGGGGGTGTTGTAGGTGGCATGGTAGCTAAAAGTGCTGGGTTTCTACATGGCTGACCACAGTTCAAGTCCTGGACGTGGTGGCTTGCTTGCTCCCTTTTTCTTTCTCTCTCTCTTGTCAAATTGAAAAATAATAATAATAACAAATGGAATTAACTAAATAAATAATTCTTTTAAAAAAAGAATGCTGGGCAGAAGAAAACTTGACAAATGTTTTGTACAGCCTGAGCCAAGGGGTATCTACAGGTTGTGGGAAGAGACATCATGGTGGCAGAGATTTTAATTGTGGTCAGAAAGATCTGGACAGGTCATCATTCAGCAAAGAGAACTGGAGCAGGTTATAACACAGAGGCCTTTTCGTCTCTTGGTAGTTGAAAGGCTCACTTGCTAAATCTTAAATTTAAACCCTGGCATTTTAGTCAATTCTAGTCTATAGTTAATCCTTAAACTCTGGCTGGCTCAGTTCATTAGGAATGATGATTATAAGAACAAAAGTTCAAATGCTCAGAGGGCATCTCACATTTTTATTTTATGAAAGGCTGTACTATATACCAAGGGGGCTGGATGGCAGTGCAGAGCCACCATTGCAAACAGAAAACAAAGACTGGGGGTAAAAAACTCAAACATTCACAATCAAAGAGCAGAAAGGGGCCTTGTACATGTAGTCCAACCCACTCGATTCTTACACATAACTTGCTAATAGTAGTAGACACTCAGCTGACAAAGGACAGCATTATTCAGCCCTGAGAAGTGGGAAGAACTAAACTTCCCACAGTGGAAAGGGTGGTTAAGAACAAGGATTAGCTGCACCCAGGTAGACAAATTGGGCAAATGGCATTCATGTCCAAGGTTAGTAGAGATGGGAACTTTCTTTCCATCAGATAGACCATCAAAGGAAACATATCGACACTGAGAAAACATTGATCCTCTGTCACCTAATGACTCTCAGGAGCGAAGATTATGACAGAGACTTGTTCTTCTTGGGAGGGCTGGTTCTCCATAAGCAAAATCATGCCTCAACATAAGTAGCAGCTCAATATATGCATATGTTCCAATCTCTATAAGCTGAGCATAAGGGGGCAGTACTCAAGGGCTACCCATGGTGCTGAAAACACCATTCGTACTTTGATATGCAGCCCTCTTAGAGGGGGCAGATGTAGATGCCCAAGACTTGCCCAAGAACACAGTAAATCTACCCAGGAGAAAAGCTAGGAAGGAGGGAAACAGAAGCTGGAACCTTGAAATATGCTGAGATGGAATCCTACTGCATTCTAGTTAGACTGACCGTATGTCCTAATTTTCCCAGCACAGTCTCAGTTCATACCTACTTAAAAATGTCCTAGTTTAGGTGATAAAATATATTGTCACTGTCATTCTAATGGTTATTTTATGGCATTATCAGAATTTTGAGCTAACGCTCAATGGATAAGCAAATGTCCTAGTAGTAGGCATTGGTCCTAGGGAATTCACATTAGAATCATGGAAGAAACCATTCGTAAGTTAGGGTAGACGTTCTTCTTGCTCCTGACTGTCACTTCTAGACCATTCCCTACTCTCCTCAATACTTCCCAGCTTCGACTTATATTTTCACACACTATCATCCACCACCCCACCTTGTTGTAGTCATCATTTTCATTTTAGGTTTCTCCTTTCATTCAATGAGGATTTTAGCTACTGGCTCACTGTCACTCTCTTGATACAAATAATCCTCCTATGATAATTTCATTTATTTTTAGGACTTTAAATATCATCTCAAGCCTTGAGTTCTCTCTTAAGTGCTAGACTTTTATACTCAACTACTTACTAGCATCTTGACTTGGATTACTAATAGGCATCTCAGACTTAATCTGCTACAAACTAAGTACTTGCTTTCTCCCACATCTCAAAACCTACTTCTCATGTGGTTTTTACCATCTCCATCTTGGATAACTAAGAGGCAACTCCATCTTCCAATTACTCAGAAAAAACCTGCACTCACCTTGAATCCTCTATTCTTTTCACACTCGATTTTGATTTGTTAGAAAATCCTGTTGTCTCTAACTTCAGGGTACCTCCAGAATCTAAACACTTCTCCCTACCTCCACAGTTCAATTCACACTATCATCTTAACTATAGTTGTTTCTCTGTTTTCCCCCCTTTGCTCTCTAGAATTTATTCTCTACCCACAACTAGAGAGATTCTGGTTAAACACAAGTTAGATCATGCCAGTCTTCTGCTCAATACCCTGCAACAGGGTTAAAGTCAAAACTTGCATTATGACCTAGGAAGTTCTATATCAAATGGCCTTCCCTCCCCCATTACCATTCTGACCTCATCTCCTGCTACTCTCTATCTCACTTGCTCTATTCCAATTCTACTGGCCTCCATATCTGGCACATTCCTACCTTAGAACTTTTGTACTTGCTGTCCCTATGGCCTGGAATACCCTTCCCTCAGAGATCCATGTGGCTTACCTCCTCATTTTCATCCCTTCTTACTTTTCAGTAAGGCCATCTCTGACCAATCTCTTTAAAATTTTAACTACCTCTACATTAACCTTTACCCTCTTTCCTGATTTTCATTCTTAGCCCTTATTAATATACTGTATATATTATCTATATTTCTTATTTGTCTCTCCCACTAGAATGTAAGTTCCTGTGGGCAGGAATTTTGTGTGTTTTGTTTACTGGCATTTCTCCAGTGTCCGGAAAAGTGCCTGAGACATAGCACACAATATTTGTTGAAGAAATGAATTAAAGCTTCAATTATAGACACCTTTAGTTTGCCTTTGGATATTTTATAGCTTTATAATAAATTTCTAGAACTTTCCATTGAAGGGAATGACTATAATATTCTCTCTCAACTTTCATGTGAGGAAATACTTTTATTTAACCTTCGATACGTGGGGACCCAGACTTTGCCTGTTCTCTACCTTAAAAAGGAGGCTCACCACCTCACCAGTCAGGCTGGTTGGAAAAATCTATGGGTCAGAAAATGCTATCTTTTATTGAACCTAAACCATCTCTGTTGTATCTACTGGTTCACTCCATGCTCCCTAATTGAACAAATCTACTTCCTGTTCTACATGGTCTAGCATGAGCTTTCTGACCCTTATCTTCTATAAGTCAAACCCTAGTTTTTTTTAATCAGTTTCTCCCATGATGTAGTTTGCTGTCTCCTCACCATCTTTGCTGCCCTCCTCCGGACACAGTGCCCCGCCTAAATGAAGACCTCCAAAAGTGAACATATGACTCCAGGTCTGATCCCTACAGAGTACAATGGGACCCTTGGGGTTATGACCCTTTGATATGTCATAAAGACAGTGTTTGGTACGTGGGGATGGCCTCACTACCTTGTGACAGATTTTGCCTGGGCTGATGGGGGTGGAGGTAGGAAGAATCAATAATTTTGAGGTCTGTGTGCATTTGTGGCTGGTGAGGTGGTAGGACAAATGGTGGGTGAATAAAATGAGTAGATATCCCATACAATGAAAAAGGTTGGGAAAATCTGCTAGGGAAGATGACCTGCAGGGTAGTTAGCATTCAATCAGGGACATGGGCATGAGTTCATGGAAACTCTGCCTAATTATCTAGCATCCTAGAAATTTGTCAAGGAGCTCCCAGGAGGTAATCTGACCACATTTTCCCATTATGCCACTAGATGGAGTGTTGGGGTGGAGGATGTGAAATGGAATTTCTGGGATCGGGTAGAAAAAAACCCTGAAATCTATTTCTTGAGCAAGTTGCTTAAATCTGCACATCAGTTTACTTATCTGTAGTATCTGTTACAGGATTTTTGGACATAGTGAATGCTTTAAAAGATATAAAAGTACTTATTAACTATGAAGTGCTAAGAAAACTAAAAGAAAAAAATTGGCCTTTTTTTTTTTTTTTTTTAAAAAAAAAGGGAGAATAAAGAAAA